GTGGTATTTGACGTCAGGGTTTGCTGGAGAGGGCATTCTGATGACGGTAGTGAAATCTTGCAATCTAGTTCCTGAGAGGCAACGAATGTCTACCGAGAGCGTCTCAAGAGCGCGGGTCAGGCATGTTTGCCGTCCGATCTGCATCAGATTGCGAACATTGAGCGCTGCGAGGCTGAATGGGGAACCAGGTCGAAGAAAAGCTGGGGCTTCGGTGGAGTGTGAAAAGACTATGGTCGCCTGGCAGTGAACACAAAGAGTTTGACTCTGACTTCCGTCAGGTGCGACATGTGTGCTGCTGTTGGCGGTGACCTCGGAGAACATTAGTGCAGCTGAATAATGGGACGTGGGACGATCTGTGAGTGGATATTCTACAGAAGGTACAGGAGAGCAGGTAGACATAGCAAAAGAGAAAGCGTTAGTACTATCCGTTCGTGATTCATCAGTGGGCGTGATACAACCCGGTTGCCTAGGCCGAAGTAGAGGGTTATCTTAAGGAGCCCTACACCGAGCCTTTGATCAAGGATCTAAGCTACAAAGCAGCAGGGCGATATGAAGACGTCGTAACCCGTTGGGAGCCGGTGACCAAACAAGTGATTCATATGCCTTTAGGTCTTGCAAAGGATCAGGGGCCCAACACACCCTGAAGTTACAATGCCACTGACGGAGAGGCAAGGGGCAATGAGTTTGTTTAATGGCGAGTCACATCGGCCACGTCACAGTGTTATTAAGCGGACATATGTGGTTTTTTATGGGGAGAACGCTTGCCAAGGCGGAAACGCACCACGTCCTGGAACACTGCCGACGAAGCATTCGCTGAAGCGGGATAATCTCGAACCATCCAGCTGGTACCACGAGGACGCTATTCGGCCGGTTATTAGGCTTTGAATTCATTCACAATACTCTGTGGCCTCAAATCGAAGATCCCGATTGTTCTGCTAACGTGGGCTTTAGATACCTAGGTCCGTGCTGGTCTTCGACAACTCGCCGATATTGAATGGCGTCCACTGACATTCTTTCATCAACGACTCCAAGAAACCCAAGTCAAGTATAGAAACTTTTTGACGGGCAACATAAGCAGCGCCATCCTCTTTTTATCAATATCAGCGCTAAAGAGAAGCCAGCTCCATATCACAGATGCTAGGAGCAGACGGGTAATGCTTCTTGAGAAAGTCCACGTCTGCACTCTCCACGTGAAGTTCATTAGTTGAACTACGGTTTCGATGGTCGCACAATTCTTTGTGGTACATGCATTTTCTGAGTGAACTCATTAGCCACGATAGATCAGTTGCCTGATCCCACATCATGTATAGACACCGCGCGGCAGACTCATCGCTTGCATCCTATTTGTAGCCGACACTAAAACCTGCTTCTAACCAAGGGGTAGATGCCACCGCTGGCAATCTGGAGTCGGTAGGTAAATCGCATATTACATCCGAGACATTTTTACAGCGAAAACCTCCTGAAACTGCCGAGGTAAACAGGAATGAAAATACCACATTGATACAGTATATCGTAAAAACGGTTAGGTAAAAAGATGGGGACCGAAAAGCAATGTAAGGATGAAGTGAGCAAGTTGGGAAAGAAAATGGTGTAAGATCCGAGAAGCTATCGTCCCACGCCCACCTGTTCAATGGCAACGCTGTACCCTACCAAGAACATGTCCAGCACGTCTCGAATTGGCTCATATGAAAGTGCAGCAGCACGCCGAGTGTGGGCATACACGTTTTCCTCTGTGCATCGTCGCGATCATATGATAACTGAAGGAGATTCATCACAGCCTCATTCAATCAAAGAACCACCACACTAGCAAAAAGCACTGTAAGCCATTTCGGCCTTTCGGGAATCGTCAGCAGTGTGCATTCCGTTTGTCCCTTGTGGGACCAGAACCCGCGGCTCTACTTTTATGAGTCTGTGTTTAAGGCTACTAGGCGGGGAGCGCAAACCAACTGTGGACGTGGAGTTTTTGGAGTTGCTCGATTCCAACGCTGCAGGCCAGGACCGGCGTCATCCTCGTTTGAAGTAAGTTTACAGCACAAGACCGGCAGGTACAGTAGCTTTGTTAAGAAACATGAACCAATAGGGATGAAAGCACAGTGTGCTACGAAAGTGAAATCAATTGCGATTACTAATATCCAAATTGAATGTAACTTAAGGGCAAGAAGTTGAGGCATGTAGCAAGTGACCAAGGGTAGCGTGAACATACGCAAAGAATACAAGGTCAATCACATCTGCTTTAGGCACGTTTGCAGTGACCGAAGTGACTCGGGTTCACTCCAAAAGGAATCGCAGTTCTATTTGAGATCCCTTGCTGTAAGCAACCCAAACAATAGATACTCCAAGACAAGTCAATAGTCAAGCACACCGACTGTTTCAAATCCAGCTAGTGGGACTTATCGGATGAAAGGCGTCGTGTAATGCATTGTAAGGGGAGAAGAAAGTCAACATCGTGAACTACGCGTGAGAAGAATCAAGAACTAAGAATTCAGAAGTTTAAAAATAGTCGAATAAACTGAAGAAACCGTTGTGGCGAAAGGGACACGCTATAAACCTAAAATTTACTCAATTCACCTACGGTTCTAATCATTGAAGTGAATGAAGTTCACTTGAGTGTCAATAGAATGGAAATTTGAGATCTTCGAAGTCATTTCACCGAGTTGAGCAGGTGGTATGCGGAAGCATGTGCAACTGCACGCACTGCCTCATGGGCAGATGATGAGAGAGCATTGTTGACAAAATCAGAACAAGTGGACATTGAGGGTCATTTTGAAGTACACATTGTGTGGATGAATTGTGACACGCAATCTCAATGTGAACCGCGATTTCCATTAAAGTGAACCTTGTTCTTTCTAGTACGAGAACCGTAGCTGAAGAAGATAGAAATTGGGTGTTGTTCGCCCGAAAAAACTGCACTCCTATGACGCGTCTCGATGTTATTTCATCTCATCACATAGAGATAGCAGGCATCGAACCCGGGACCATTGGGACGGTAGTTGTGACCGCTACCCCTAAGCCACCGGGTCACGACGGGCAACACAAAACAAGTGGAAAGAAATTACAGTTAAACTCATCAGACAGGCATCACACATCCAGAAGAGTACTGTACGGCTGTTTTAGTTTGCAACTACCGACAATGCCGTAAGTTAGTTGCTCGATGAAGAGGCTACCCTGTTCTATACACGATAGTAATGTGTAAGTCTGTGGATAGTGAGTGGCGATAAAGCACATCGAATAAAGTAGTCATATCGGCCACTACCGTTCCAAGTAGCCCGGCGGTCCTAACTACAGACTGGTAGCAGCCGAGTTTCGGGCTCTAGTTCCACAGGGGTCGGAAGAAACGTGCACCACTGATGTGTCCCAAAAAGAGGAAATAGTTACATTGTGCTTTTCCGAGCGTATGATGACTGTCTAATTGAGCCTAGACGTGATAACTCTCCAGATATAGCAGTCAAATCACCCTACGACTCTCTTGTAAAGTCAGGACACTAGGAGAGGAGTGATCTATTCTGCCGTCGAATATTCCATTCAGCATGAAAACAAGAGGTCAGGATAAACCCACATTAAATGGGTCTATTCTAGAACAGATTGCGCTATAACAAACTGTCCAACGGGAAGAATATCTATGCATAACTACCTAAAATATCGATCGTGACCAATAAGACTTGCTAATACATAAGTACATGCCGAATCGCCCGTGGATGCACCACTAAGTTACTCAAAGGTCCCGGTGTTTCGAAGAAGGGTTACAAATCAGTGAATTCCAATCCAGCGCAGTGTGCTTCCGGAAGAATGAGGTCAAGAGGTTGAGTGAAGTTGCGGGCTCCCAATGAGTCCAGAAAATGACATACGTGAGCACGAAGAGTTGTGTTTTCGATGAACGCACACATCGGGGTAAGAGTTCAGCAACAACATCTAAAACCGGTTGTGGAATGCAACATTGAGAAGGTGAAATCAAAAAAAGCCACAGATTAAAAACGCACCGGTGATGTCGCCTCGATTGGTGTCGAAACTTTTGCAACCAAGCTGTCAAGCTCAGTGAACAATCCGGCCACAAACTGAACAAAGTGAGTTACAGAGAGTTGCCTTTATATCAAAAATTGTATCCTACTAAAGGATGTCATGCAACGTCCTCCGAGTAAACGCAGCAAGATTCAACTTGATTTAAGGCGTTGTGCTAACGCCAAACAACTTAGCTCTGACCTAGTGGATCAACCAAAAATCCCGGTGTCTTTTATTACCGTCGTAGAGAATGGCTTCCTGACAAGCAAGTTAGATAAGATGGTGACAACCGCGTAGATGGCACGATGCCGAGAGTGGTGCAATCACACTGAGGATCAGAAAACTGATTTCCAATCATGGTCGTGCGATTTGCGGGAATTTGTTCAAAAGTGCAGATAAGACACACTGAACATTTTTGCATCAGTATTGTAATAACTCGAATGAGCTTTACTTGCGATATCACGTTTCACTTCAGAACAGAGACAGCGCAATGAAGTCAGCGGTAGCCACTGGAGAACGAACGGGATGTCCTCTGATCCTCGTCTCAGAAATGAAAAGAGAACAAGTGGAAACGATGGCTCATTCAAACATCAAACCCCTGTCTTAAGCCAGAAACCCATAAACATACTCACCAAGTTGTATTACAATATTCAAATAACTTTGGAGCAAAGATCGAAAAAAGCAACGGCGTTAACTTGAGGCACAATGTTAGGAAAAACCGGGATGTGGGAAATGTCCATCTGAAGGTACAAGAGCGAAAGACTTCAAAAGTGATAGCATATGAAAAGTTAGAATTAGATTACGACAAATGGTAGAAAGATGTGTTGATGAACTATGTCATTATGAAAATAACAAGAAAAATAGGCATACATTAGAATACTACAAAAGGGCGCTACAACCTTTTGGATTCATGGAAAATTGGAAAAAATTCGAGGATACAGGATCAAAAGAGACAATGAATCACCGAACAGTCTCAGGAAGTGTGCAAGTGTGAGCAAAGAATATCACAGCTTTTGCATGGACAATTTTCGGTGTGACTCCCGGATGCGAACGACAGCGCGCCAAACGCGCAAAACGGCTGGAAAGCTGATGGGAAGAAGGAAAATGAGCACTCATGATAACCATTTAAGAAAGCAAAAAATATTACAAAATCTGGCACCAATACACAAACGCTCTGGAGGAAAAAGAAAAAGTAGATATCTGACGAGATGAAATACCCGATCGGTGGACAGACAAACAAGAGGCTCCATATCCTTAGTCATCAAAGAGGTAGCAAACTAGAACCCTTAGGTATACAATCTGGCGGGCTCCGGTTAGCCGGGATGCAAGAACAGAAGCTTGGAGATGCTCACAACATGCAAATAATAAGAGCGACTCCATGACATAGTTGACTAGCGGGTCTGCAGCTGTCATCATCAGCAAAATGAAGGGTTGTTCCAACTGTGATTCGGTCTTTGTGGGTCGTGAAAGAGCTCCCAGAGGTCCGATTCGTCTTCTTCAGCAGGACCAAGCGATTGAACCGATGGGATCATCTAACAGTTCGCCCCGATGTTACAGGATGGTCTTGACCGCTGTACATGCAAGCGCGCCGCGTTACAGCTCGTACCTGGGGCTCAAGCGGTATAATGTCTCAAAAAGCCTGTCCCATACGCAGCCCTACCATTGATCGATGCCGAACTCCAACGTTTGGAAGATATAGGCGTCCTGGTGCCCGTGTCCTATTCAGCCTCGGCAGCGCCGATCGTCGTGGTCAAGAAGCTGAATGGATCCCTCCGCATCTGTGAAGATTTCTCCATCGGTCTCAATGCTGCACTAGAGTCAAATTGCTACCTACTACTGATCCCAGTCGACCTTTTCAGAATACTTAACGGTGGTACGTGTTTCGCTAAAATCGACCTGGCAGACGCCTACCTGCAGATCGAAGTCGCTCCTGAGTCACAATCCTTGTTGACGATCAACACACATCGTGGTCTTCTCCAGTACACCAGGCTCTCGTCTGGTCTCAAAACCGCTTCGACCTTTTTCCAACAGACGATGGACACCATGACCTCTGACATTCCGGGTACGGCCGCGTACCTGGACGATCTACTTATTGTTGGTCGCACCCCAGAACTGTGAGAGCCCCTGGTTGTGGTCCTACAGCGTGTTCAGGAGTATGGTTTCCGCTTGAAAGCCGAGAAATGTCAATTCTTTCTTCCATCGACAAATACCTTGGTTTCGTGTTCAATGTCAGTGGCCGTCATACAGATCCTGAGAGCCATCCAGCGGTCCTTCCTGGGTCTCATCAGCTACTACAGCGCCATTCTACCATCGTTAAACTATGTTGGAGCCCCGCTCAATCGGTAATCGCAGAAGGACGTTTCTTAGCACTGGTCCCGCGTATACAAGAAGGCCTTCGTTCGTCTGAAATTCATGCTGAGTTCTGACCTACTGCTGACCCATTAGGACCCAACCTTGCCGATTTTGATCGCTGCTGACGCCTCTGCCCACGGGATCGGAGCACTTCTCCCATCGCTTCCCAAATGGTTCCGAAAATGCGGTTATGTTCGTGTCACGTACCCTGACGCCTGCGGAGAACTATGGTCGGATTAAGAAGGAAGCCCTAGCCATCGTGTTTGCCGTCACCAAGTTCCACAAGATGATGTATGGCCGGCGGTTCACGCCATTTACCGATCATCAGCCACTACACACAATCTTCGGTTAAAAGAAGGACATTCCCGCATACGGCTAGCCGACTTCAGCGTTGGGCCGTTATCCTTCTTGGTTACGACTTCGACATCCGCCACTGCCGTACTCAGGATTTTGGTCAAGCCGACGGACTCTCTCGCCTCATTTCCAAACATGCCACAGAAGAAGAACTGTGATTGCGACTGTTACCGTCGAGGACGACGTTCGTCATCAACTCTTGAACGCTATCCAAAGTCTCCCTATTACTGCCGCCGACAAAAATTTCCGTAACTGCTCAAGACCCTGTCCTGCAGGAAGCCGTCACTTAGGTTCCGACGCGCTGGCCACACACTGCCTTATCTGTTGAACTGAAACAACTGTACCAACGTCGCAACTCCTTTTCCGTAGGCGATTGCTGCTTTATGACTGCAGATCGAGTTGTCATGCCTAGCGTGTGCCCTTTCTTGCGTAGGCTGTGGCGTTCGACATAGACCAACTGCGCATGCGCGCGTTGCTAATTCCGCCACAGCTCATGCGCTGCGTAATGCGAGCTGCCACAATGGCTCAGTATGAGAACATGGTACCCATCGCCAGCCTGTTGAACGATAGCACGACAACGAAACCTCTGGTGAACCAGTACTATCGAGCGCTGCAGTTGATAATTTGCCCGTTCGCTCGCACTCGTAGGCGAGTAAAATTCTCGTGTACTCTGGACCACATTGGTCTGATGCGGATCACGCGATGCACTTTGAGGTCGAGTCCACGACCACACCAAAGTGAAGACAACCCGTGTGACGCTGTGCGCGCGTGCAGTCGTATGGACGCTTTCGGTCATGTCGATTGCACGGTCTGGGTTCAGAGAGAACGCCTCGGCTTTCCTTCAGGCGTGCATCGGTGCGGCACAGAATGTGCTGGCAGTTAGACATTTTGGAACGATTTTCTTGTGTATAACTACCTGCAGGCTCGTAGTAGGCTTGCGGGTTCGCTGTACAATTGGCTCGGTTGGTCGGTCGCCTATCTGTTGATCGCAATCGGTGTACCAGCACACTACTATGGTGCCGAAGGTGATCAGCCAATCGGAGACATAATACCTGATTGGTCAGGCTGCCAATCTGGCGTAAGGAGATTTCACTACCACGCGAGCGAGATGACATCTAAGTGAGGGGTAATAAAGAAGCGGATTGGTTGTTTTTGTTGAGGCTGCAACGCTTGCAGGCTGTTGGAAGAGAAGGTTTGACGGCTTACGGGTTGACTGTACGGTTGCCTTCATTGCTCCATTGCCTATCTGGCCACACGTGATACGGTGTGCGTAGTGTAATTGTGCCACTGCGAGCAATCTGGACCATCGATCCGTATGCCATTTCGTTAAGGAAATGCATGTGATGGTTAAGGCAGTGTGAGGTAGTCAGAAACAATGCAGTAATTCGTATAAAGGAGGTGAAGCTAGGACTTGTTCGCAAATAAAAATTTTAAAGTCTTTACAGCCACAAAGTTCCCGTGCTGTGTTGTTTCAGTTGGCCGTACACTCATGTGAATATCGTAGCTACCTACTGCTGATGTATTCGGCGCATTGTATACTGAGGTCAGGTTCGCTGGTTAGGTAAGAGCATAATTGGATCTGTAGCCATTGTTCCAACGAAGAGGGCTCCTAGTGTGGCGGTGACACGACATTAGTTAGTGTTATTTCGTCTCCACATCTGTGGGTCACTTCGGTAATCGGTTACCGCTTCAGGACCCATGGATCTGCCGTTATGTTAAGGTCGTAAGATGCATGTCAATCCTGCGTTTCAACATGATATTTACGCTTTACTTGTAAGTGCTGGATAAGCTTGAAATACCAAGTGACCCTACGGCTCTGATATGACCTGCCAACAAGCATTGCATACGCATTGTAAGCACAGGGTTTGGAGCAATTTTCCTCCTTCAACAATACCTCCGGAATTACCTACTTTCCAATGACAAAATGTTTCCCAGTAGTTGCCAAGTCGGTAACAATGTGTATCACGGCGTGCACACATGACTGCTACTAAGACTAGCTGAAACAGTGGTCCATAGAGGGATTAATGGGCGCGGTTGCCTTTGTAAGTGATTGCAAACACATGGTAGGAACTCCCATGGGTAAGACAACAGTGTTTGTCTGTTCCAAGTACTCACCTGAATTACCAGAGTAAAATGCGTGCGTCGCCACTAATTATCGACCTTTGCGTTTTTTAGCAGGACGATGTGGCATGTATAAATACGGTAGTCATTGTAACCCCGTTAGGTGCTTCTTTGTTGAGTAGTGCCGATTTCATTAGGACAGCATTCCAGTCCATGGACGTAATAGGGAGGTTCCATCTGAATCGACTGTGCTTCTAACGGTGCCATTCGGAGAGCCACTTATCAAAGCGTCTCAACACCTATGGGCGACCATATGGAAGTGAAGCCTAATTAGCCTATGAATACATAAGTTCCTATGACCTTTAAATAACGCCATACATGTAGACGCTGAAGCGCTAACTGATTAACAAAGTCGCCCATGGGTGTGGAGACAAACAAACACTCACTAACGTCGTGACAACGCCACACCTGGAACCCTCTTAGTTTGTGTTTAGTCATCAACTGTGATAGAAGTAAGCACCCATAGAACTTTCGTTGTTCAGATTCAGGTTGGTCTACCAACTTCAATGGGAACAATGTCACCCATGGTCGTCGCAATAACAGTCGCACAAAATTGTCTAACCGCCTAGCAGCCATTACTGATTCAGGTTTGAGCGTGCAGTGTCCAAGCCACGGCGCATGCCTGACCAACCACAAATGCAGGCCTGCCTCACTCGCTCAGACCTCAGAGACTGCGGAATACCAGTTAGAAGATTGCCTGTCTACGTCACCATGGGTAGGCTGCTGAATAAGCGGCTAGCGATCAGTAAGTATAGACCGCTTCATGTGCTGGTTAGTATGTCTGTCCGCACTGGTTACGGTGTACGCTTCGGATCATGTGGTAGCTAGGATCTCCTCCTTAGACAGGCATCCACAAGTTGCTCATTGGACCGTTTCAGTTTGGAGACCAATCATCGATGTTTGCTTCAGATGGGCATCAAGACAGAACAGAAGGTGGTGCTCGACCACTTTTATAGGACTATCTGTCGTTTATGCTCGGGGTTTCCAACCGGTGTCCAATTGGCTAACGTCCCATGACCAATGAGAGTGTCAACGACGCCAAAATAGCGTTGTTAGCCTCGCTAACTTGAAAGCACTGCACACGATTTCGAAAATGTGTCACGGTAGAAGCTTGGTACAGTGGGCTTACACGCCTGGAAAATGGTGTAGTCGTGAGTTGCGCGTTCGTGTAAGCCTCAGGCGTTCCCAGGTCGTGCGCGTGTCGTTATCCGTTTAGGAGGACTCAGTGTGCCATGCGAATACGTGTGTGACTAGGGTCCGTGCCCTGTTTGCGTCGTAACTCTCCTTTAAGCTAACACGTACAGGTCTGAGTAAATGTGTTACAAATAGACACGCTAAACGTTATGAAATCTGAAATCACGGGATTGGAGACCAATTTTTAATGCAACCAAAGAATGCTGAGATGAAGTCATAGGTGACATACGCTCGACCAAATTAGTTAAACTTCCTGTCAGTACTAAGTTTTCGCAATGCCGAGCTGTTAGCGATGTGGCTCATCGATTCCAAAGATCAGTGGTAAGCATATGTTCCGTGCTACTTAGCCTTAACCCGGAATATGCAAGGTGCAAGGGAGGTTGAAGAGCCGAATGCATACATGCATGTAGCCATAGCAACTACCTTTTAAGTGTGAAAAAGGCACTAACGGAGAACAGTCCACCATCACTCTTGCTATGGCCCGATTCTCAGTGACGCAAGCGGCCAAGAACACATGTGCACAGAGGGTCAAAGTACGCATAATGAATGAAATGATCGAATCCATCACGCGTACATGTGTGTAGGCTAAGTGCAGTGGACTTCCGGTGAAAATGAAAGTGTACTCGCGTGCAAAAGATTGTTGTCCCCAAACGAGTGACGTTAAAAGAATACATACAGTGGAAGTCAAAAGACTGTTGAACGGGCACGTACCTGAGATTTAAGCGATATAGATCGTCTTTGGTGACCATTGAGAGGAAATCAGACTCGTCTTTCACAGTCTTCAGGAGCTAAAAGAAATAAGGCATATACAGAGTGTGGTAAGAGTTAAATGGATGTGACTGAGGGAATTCTCCTTATAAGAAAGAAAGGATATACAAATGTACACAGTGAACAACGATCAGAATACTGATGTAAGTGAACGTAAGATAATAGCCATAACCACAACCACAGTAATTAAAAAGGAAATGAAGACGAGAGAAGCTAAGCAAAATAAAAAAAAGCGAAGGTTCATAATTCTGAGTGTCAGATGAGGCGGTTGACAACAGAAGCAGTGAATCCGAAATAATCATTATCTCCTGACTGGCTAGCCGAACAACCTCCTCGTGGTGTCAGCTGGGTGGTTCGGGTTTAACTCGTTCCAGCAAATAGTTCGGCGGCAGTGTTCCAGGACGTGGTGGGTTTCGCCTGGCAAGCTTTCTCCCTATAAAAAGACACAAATGTCTGCTTAACAACACTGTGACGTGGCGGTCATGACTCGCCACAAAATAAAGTCACTTCCCCGTGGATATCCGGATAATTCTCTCCAACCCACGGACAACAATCTCCTACTCGCATATTAATGACGATATCAAACATTGAAGCAGCACAACTACAAGCACAAAATTCACAGCTACATACACATACACACACAATGACATACATACCTACCCCCAACACAACCACAAACTGCTATGGCAAACATATCGGTGGTTTGCACATCCTTGATCATGCGTCGTTATGTCAAAATGATCATGCCTGTAAAGGCGTGCCTCACCTTGTTGAGAATAAAAATTTATTTATTTATGTATCACACGGGGAGCAATCACCGGGTGGGCAAGGAAAGGCCCTTAGGATGAGCTGCTTACAAAGCACTATGCAGCTTACGCGAAACTGATAAAGTGATGTGCTCAAAACCCATTTGTATTAGGACAACAGTCATGGAAGACCGCAGGGCAAAGCAACAACAGTTAAGTCGTTCATTTTGGATATAATCGAGTTCTGCGGTATGGTGGAGCAATATTCAAACAATTGCTTGTTGCAATTGGATAATGCGTTGTGGGAGCAAGAGACACGAAGAAAGTATAATAAAAGCGCTTTAACAAAGAGATTAAGCATTTCAACCTTAAACGTGCGCTCAAGGACCATAATTGTAGTTGCACTTCGTAGGCATGAGATGGAAGAGACAAGTGGACCACGCAGATAGATGCTTGAGGTAAGGAATCCACAGAAGGAAGAAAAATGTTGGACATTGTCAATCTGCAACGCCGCAATGGAGCATAAACCTCGTACTTATTAACAACGGTCAGGTAAAGATGGCAGAACTTCAACCTAGACCTACCCCGGGGCGAATAGGATCAGTTAGATAAACGGTTAGATAATAAACGGAAGCATTCGCCAAGTTCTTCAAGCTAGAGCTGAAAAGAATACAAGTATGCGTCTCTCTTTAACAATCGCATGCGAGGAATGGCGATTTATGGATTAAAAGTTGAACATGACAGGTGCAAATCAACGCAACGGGACTAGACTATAACGTGATTCAATGATTTCATAACTCCGTGACCCATTGAGCTACGATGGGTGGCACCCACTAAGTACTTACGGACCCAATCGTGTGAGACAGACAAGGGGTTGCGGCTCAGAATAACTCAAAATCTAGCCATGGGAAACAACAGATAACATATTATAAGCTCGCAGCTCGACTGATGAAAAGCATGAGCGCCTCGCAGTGTCGCTGACGGCGAGAGGACAGTCCGGTGCCTAATGGTCTGCTACCACCCACCACAAACCGAATTATCGAGTAGCTCACTGTAAAGCAAGAAGACTGGTCCACGATCACTAAGACATTTATTAAGAGTACGCATGGATATTTTGCGACAGTCTATGAATATACATTGAGCCATCGGAAAACATGGAACTCAAATCAAGGTACAGAAACAGTAAAAGAAAACATAACACAACATATCAAAGTCCATGGTTTCGTCAGAGGGCGAGATCCTACCCGGTTGCCCAAATCGAAGTAGGGTGTTGACTTAGGGGACACCACCCCTAGCCTTTGGCTGAATAGCCTGCCCGCAAGGCAGCGGAGCGAATTCAGGGAATCGCGCCCATTGGGAGCCGGTGACTGATTGCTCAGTTCATACGCCTTTCGTTTGTTCCTTTGTCAAACAGGGGCCCAATGCTCCACAAAATTACAGCATAAACTAGCTGCGTGGATATTTAGAGTACATACACTATTTGAGAGTCAGCTTCATCGACTGGCGCCATGCCCATTGGTTTACGCTTGTTCGCAACGTTCATCCTGTCTAAAATTACCTCGAGCCGTGTTGCTGGCTGTATGGGTGGATTGAACGATTGGCTCCATTAGCCACTCCTCCGTGTGGTCACATACTGCTTCCTTTGGTCAGGTGCTACAGCAAACTTTGACTTAAGTGCATACAGTCTATTCGTGAGCTGACAAACCAATGCGCTTCTCCGCTTTCTCTCCTTTTTCGCCAAACTGAAATGATTCTGTGCATTTGGGACCTGTTGGCGCCTATACACTAGGTAGATGTTTGCTCAGTTGGCTGGCTGTCCTCGCACAGACCGACGTGGGCGCGCGAAGACCAAGCGCTACTTGACTGACCAATCCACTTCCGATGATATGCTCACTTTCCTTCGGGCTAAAATGCATCTGTTCAGTACTCCGCGAAATGCTGCGTGGCGTTCGATTGGTCATCCGCCTACCGGTATCATAGCGTTTCCACTCACCATCAGTTGCAGCCACCAGCACACAACATATGGTTAAATGGATGTAAACCTGCCACTTATGGCCTGCGGTTGAGTTTGGTCACAGGTGAGTAACGTACTACAGCCGGACAACAAGTGAACCGTTCTAAATCCTCGAAGACTACGTGTGATAGGTCTGAATTTGATCCTAAGGTGCATCTGCAATAGACTGCCGAGCTGGACTTACTCCTCACTGCCTACCTTGTGGGTCAGGCTGTTGAGCCAAATGCCCCGGGTGGAGTTCCTCAACCGAACCTCCATGTAGCCCAGTCTTGTAAACCGGACTGTTGAGTTAAAGGAAGGGAAGCTCGATCGAAACCCATCTCGGGGTGAGCAACCGAAGAGTATCATCTGGCCCCTCGACTCCATCGAGAATATTCCCTCTAATTCATCTTCCAGCTTTTCTTTCCCATTTTAGCTCTTCCCTTCCCTATCTATTGAGCAAAGGACTGCCTCAGACGTCACAGATGCTGCCATGGGTACATGTAACTTGTCCTTTAAACCTAGGGTCTCATTTCACAGAGGCTTTGTAAAAGTCCACACTCTGGGTCATATTGGCCAAGAGGCAGCGTTAATCCAATCTTCAATCCATTGGTATTAATGTGCGGGGTGTCTCCGAAATATGTATACAGGTTAACAAGACCATGACGAAGCATGCAAACAGGGTCTGCCGGGAAATGAGTTTCTTTGTGTACGTAACGTGATGAAATGACAAGTGGCAAAGAGTTTTCGATTTCATGGGTGCCAATCGCCCGCGATATGGAAAAGCCAGTGTTAGTGGAAACTGACGAGTGCTATTCCCACATCCGGAACATGGGTCCGAGAAAACCCTCAGTCGGTGAGACAATTTCAGAGAAAGATGGACAGATGAGCCATTCTCAGCAGCGTCGACTAGCTCGTTGGGCGGAACAAACTGCAGCTCAGCAAGCCTGCTGCGACACTGCCGCTTGCTAAATCATCTGAACTCACATGGGAATTTAATGCTACGTCTCAAAGTTCAGAAGATATCCGACATAAACTGGCTCTGTTGAAACGAAACAAGACTCCTAGATTTCAGAAGATTAGTAGGGAGAGTTGAGTGGTATAGGTAGGAATTCGTCACATCTAGACTCACTCAGACAGCCGCCACACGCCCGGAAAAGCACTGTACGCGCGCTTCATACTTTCGGGAATCATCAGCAGTGCGCATTCCAACGGACCCCTGGTAGGGCTCGAACCCGCAACTCGACTGTTGCCAGTCCGTGGTTGAGACCACTGAGCTACTGGTGGACGGCAACGACCATCGTGAATAAGTTACTAGATGTGATATAGCGCCGCTCCTAGATTTGACGATCTTGTTCCATCCTTGCTGAACGGTGGAGGTGATTCTATGTTGATGGGATTCGTTGCTTCATTCAAGACAATTTGGGACAGCGAACTGGTACATTCAGATTGGAGACTGATAACTGTTGTGCGTCTCCTCAAAAAAGGGTCAAGGGACTTGGTACGAAAACCACCGGGCATCAGTTTGCTTACCTTTGCCTCCAAACTTTCCATGCGAATTCCTCTTCGACGAATTACCGGTACTCATGAAAGCCGAAGCATAGAAAGCTAGATTTCGCCCTGGTGGTGTTGTAGCCACCACCTATTTCCTCTTGGTTAACTGGTAGAGCAGAAACATATACGGTGTGGCCGGGATGTGTCTACCGATTGTCATGGACGCACCGTAAATTGCCGCACATTGCGCGCCTTGAGAAAAAACCCCGAGGAATTCTAACGGCAGTCCGGAGATCCAACCGGATCTCATATGATGCAGTACGCACCAAGTGCGGCGTCTGCGTACCGCAACTTGCACATCGCTTTATGCAATGAGGCGCAGACTAGGGATACTTGATCGATACATTCTGTTAAGTGTTTGAGGCATAATGTTTCGCGAAAAACTGGATGCCAGTGGGCTCTGCACTGACCGATGTTTAACCATAGCACTGAAGCTACCGTTTTGTACAGGGTCTACTGTGATTAAAAAAAGGGACGTCGCGTTGGCGTACGAAGGTAAACTTGGTGCACAACTGCTGCCATTTCATCACAGCTATGTTTCCATTAAAGGAGACAGACTGATGTACACGTGAGAAATAAGTTTTCGATGTGCCCGTATTGGTATCGAAGGTAATGTTAAAACATGGTTACGGTGGGTACGCCGGTAAACTGAAAACTAGCTTCCAAAGAAGCACTGTAGGAAAAAAGCACCATTTTCAACAATAACTTTCGTATTAGGAATAATAAT